TATCCACGTAAACTGCTTGTATGCCATAAGAGTATTCATCCCTCCTTTTACCAGGATAGAAGGCATTATCACTTGTATTGATCAATACCTGATTAACTGGTTTCAACATAGAACTTTACACAGATGTGAAGCAGTTCGAGTTACACGAGAGAGCCAGGCAGGCTTTAGACCAGGAAGAGGGTGTATTGATCATATCTTCACCCTCCGACAGATTCTAGAACATAGGGATTCCTACCGGCGTCCAACAGTCATTATATTTCTTGACCTAAAGGCAGCTTTCGACTATGTCGATCGAGAAGTTCTCTGAAGATGCTTGGCTGTAAAGGGAATTCCGAGAAAATATATTGCACTGATTAAGGAACTCTACTCGTACTCATACAGCCAGGTGAGGGCTTACGGCGAGCTGTCATCTGAACTGATGACGACCAGTGGTGTCCGTCAAGGATGCCCATTATCTCCTTTTCTATTCAACCTTATCATAGATGTGTTAATGGACTTAACCCTAGGTGACTTCAGTGACTCAGGGATTGACTTGCTACCGGGGAATAATCTCGTTGACTTGGAATATGCAGACGATATAGTCCTTCTAGGCGAAGACGCTGACAAAATGCAGAGTCTTCTGAACACCTTGAGCCGCAATCTACGAATGTTTGGCATGCGATTCGCTCCCGCCAAATGCAAGATGATGTTACAGGACTGGACTACACCGACTCCTAGATTAGAAATAGGGAGTGAAGTGGTAGAGCACATTGACCGCTTCACTTATTTGGGAAGAACCATCAGCCAACGCCAACGGGTTGATCTCTGACGAAATCTCAGCACGAATACAGGGGGCTCGTTTCGCATTTGCCAGTTTACGCCGACTCTGGCGTAGACGAGATGTTCGACTATCGACCAAAAGGCGGGTGTATTGCTCATCAGTCCGCTCCGTCCTCCTTTATGGTTGTGAGACCTGGCCACTGAGAGTGGAAGACATGAAAAGACTAGCTGTGTTTGATCATAGGTGCCTTCGCTCTATTTCCCGTGTAAAGTGGCATGATAAGGTGAGCAACATTGAGGTTAGGCGTAGAGTTCTAGGTAAACAGGGGAAATCAATCGACGAAGTCGTGAAGCTACAAAGACTGATATGGTTAGGACATGTGTTACGTATGCCAAGCCATCGCCTCCCTCGACGAGCAATGTTAGCGGATATAGGGTGAGGCTGGAAAAAAGCTAGCGGCGGTCAAACAAAAACCTGGCCTCACCAGTCAATGAAATCCACAACAGTTGGTCTAAGCCACGTAGGAAGGTGTAGACTTCCAGGCTGGGGTCCTCGGGACGGTAAAAATCTATGGTTGGAAACAATTGGTGACATGGCTCAAAATCGTTCTCAGTGGCGCAGATACATCCACTCCCTGTGACTTATGATCTTCAATGAAACTGTTTTGTTCTTCGTTACTTCTATTCCTTTGTCTCACCCCTCTGCTCACTGTTTCTATTATGCTTTTCTTATACTTTCTTCTCTTGCTTCGCGTGCTACACGGAGTGTGGCGACTTGAACTTCCGCACATTTGTGCAAAGTTCTATGTCGAAAACAGACAGACAGTCTCCCCCCCCCTTTTGCACACAAAGCAAGCGAAGAGAGTAAGGAGAGGTTCAAAAGCGAAATCAATACTAGTGTGTTATGGTTTCCTTCTGAATGTTTTATCTTTTTTATTACTACTTGAATAACTGCAGGATAGACTGAATTGTAGATTTTCTGTCTCTTCTAATAACTATAGTCAATCTTATATCATTAGAATGTGTGAAATATATATATATATATATATATATATATATATATATATATATATATGTAACAAGTATTTTAGGTGTTATTGCATTTTCTGCACTGTGAATGCTCTAAAATTAGTTCCATTATGGGTACGTAACGTAAAAGTGAATATAAAACAAACAAATATTGAAATAGTACTTCGGAAAAAGTTATAAACTAGAGAGTACGACATATAAGCATCATGCTTTCTAGCTTAATTTATCACCGATTTTTGTACCTCTTCAAAATAGAAAGTTCATGAGATGTAATTCGAGAAAAGGGAGACAGGGAAATAGAAGGCAGAAAACTCAAGACAATATAATAATTATTCTTAGCTGATATGGTTACGCATTGAATCAGGAAATCGAATCTCTTCAGGTGGGTTGAAGTCGATAACGTCTATGGAGTTAAATTAACTCACTGAGTCGATCTCAGTCATCCGAACCTCATTTCTCGGTTCATTAATAATAATAATAATAATTTCAATAAGGCATTTAGAAGACAAATTTCGCGAGATAGTATCATTTCGTAGTTTCTTTACAACCGCTCTACAACTAACATGGTTCACAATAATAATAAAATAAAATGCATTACATTTTCAACCGCTGTGCCTATGATTACAGGACGAAATTCTATAGTCTCTACTTCAAACAGTATCTACAAGTTCATCTGCAGTTGCGGTGACACCCAAGTAAGTAGAACCAATAGAATGTTCCAATGTCGTGGAAAAGAAAATCTTCTAAAGTGGTTATTAAAACACATAGAAAATCCTAATGCAATTAATAATGTAAAAATAGAAATCCATCATCCACTGCAAAGCACAAAATCAATATTATTGACTGCTTCACAATTATTTCACACAACTTTATTTCAAGGTTGGTTATTAAAGGTGATGGAAGCACTTTGAAATAATCATATTCACCCTAAACTATGTGTACAAAAAACAATAGACATCAACCTTCGACTACCCTAGACTAATTGACCTATTTAAATATGATTGGTCATTAGTATGTACTTTTGTTTTTTATATAACTGAGTAATTGTCATGCTCTTTATTTTATTATTGTTAACTATGTTAGTTGTAAGGCGGTTGTAAAGAAACTACGAAATGGTATCATCTTGTCTTCTAAATGCCTTATTCAAATTTATCAGGGGGACTAATTGTTTTATTAATAATAATAATTGGTTTTTGATCTCACACATCGTCTCTCTCACCCTGACATCTCTTAATCTTTCGTTTTCTCGGAGCATATAAACTGATGATGACTTGACCCAGAAATCATGATGCCTACCTGTTTTTTATTACTCTTTCTTCATTTTGAATTCTCTTTATTTTCGGTAGCCTTCAGCTGCTGATGCTGATGATGATCTGTGGAACTGTTATGTATAAAGAATTCTTCATTGTCCAAAATGTATTCAACTCTTATAGTGAATAACTTCAACGAGTAGTGTGTGTGTGTCTTCGTGTAATATGTTTAATATTTTTGCTGTAAATTTTCCTTGTATCATTTTTAATTATTCTCTTTCAAAACGTTAGAAAAAAAAATTTTCTATGGAACAGATGTGTGCATTAAAAAAAAAGAAACTGATGTTTTCGAAATCTGTAAGAAACAAACAGAAAGATAAGAAGATGTTCGTATGTTTATGAACTATTTATCGACTCTTGAGAGTAGGAAACAGAAATAAATAAATAAAAATTAATAATAATAATAAAAGGGTATGCTGCTGGCCTCTTTTTTATTCATGATGAGAGAAACACAGCGTTGCACGTGTGGTTCAGAAATGTATCCCTTCTCGATTTCGACATAAAACACTATGAACCTGACCGTTCTTCTCTTTCATCTTTTGTTTTACCTTCAATTTTACTGTATCCTGCCTTCTTCCCTCCCCCCGTCCCTGCTCGCGTATCACTCACCTGTTTCTGTAGGCTCTTTTCCATTTTTTAGTAAAATTCAATCAAAATTATTTATTTACTTATTTACTATAGATTAGTATACGAATAGCAGATTGGTAAATGAAAGAAGATGGAAAATAGAATATTAATACTAATTAGCGGTGAATTTAAAATATCTTTTTAAAAAGATAAAGAGATTTATAAGTGGAACAAATGAAATGAAAAAGAATAACTATGAACTGATAATCAAACATGTGGGAAATGATGTTCATTTCTGATACATTTATTTATCTATCAGTTAGAGAACTACTGAAACTCAGGGAGTACTGGACAATTGTTTCGTCCTAGTTTGCAAATCATTGGCAGTACTCCCAGGTTTTCAATGCTTCTCTAACTGATATCAATACGCGGTAAAACTAGAAAAACAAATGAAATCCTTACAAATCAACTTATGAAAAACTATCTATCTATCTATCGGGAATTGGTGGAAGTTACAATTCACAGGACATTGGATTCCATTCCGTTGCCTGAATGGGTTCGCACTGTAATCTGAAGGTCCTGGGTTGGTACGACAAATTGTACGTACTTCTGAAGAGCCCAAAATTAGGACTAAATAGCTACTGAGAAACTCCTGGGGCCTTTATGATTCTTTAACTAACGTATAATGTCATAACTAACTGATGTGAGAGTTTCGCAGAAGGAGTTGATGTCATTGACTGTTGATTTAAATGATGTTTACTAATATCAGGTGACTGAAAGCCGTAGATATAGGTTTCTTAGTTGTTGGCACTCATGAAGAAGGCGTATCTACAACCCCAAAGCAATTGATATCCTCTTAGAGAATCGAATTCGCCTTACTCAGTACTGTAGTCAGAGTCACCATTTGGACCCACCTGATATGCATTCAAATTTCATTATAATGGCGAATCGCCCAACTAAGTGTGACCATATTCCAAATCTGACTGATGAAATGCAGCCAGCAGTAACACTAAGGTCTAGATGGATGACATTAGTTGTTCTTCAGTGATTAATAAGTGGATTTTCATAAGTGGTAGTTTCTTTTCCATTTCACCACACACAAAGTATTGTTGGGTGTTTAAACTGAGATGCGTCATTAGTTCACAGAGCTTTTGAATATGTATTATCTGTAAATTTACAAATAACCCTTGTTCAGTTGTTTGAATAATTTTAAACTGTTATCTTTGTATCAATAAAAAATCATTTCTCTCATTAACTAAGTAGGATTAATTATGCATCAGGCTTAACTACACTTCGTTTTAATATTCGCGGTTCTATTATTTTTTTGTATACTAGCAAGTGAAACAGAATCCTCGAAGTTCACGTAAATCCCTGGAAGATTGTTATATGGTCATTGTACAGCGTTGGACTAAAGTAGAAACACTACTTGAGTCAATTATACGAAATACACTGAGTAAGTATTTGATGCCCTATTCTGTTAATGTCTATTTTTAAACAGCATTCCAGTGACAATTTAGTTTTTAAACTCTTACTATAACGTAAGGAATTTACGCTGCTCTTAGTTATGTCTTTCTTGAATGTTAGAATCTCAATGAATCTCATTCGTCTGAGACAATCACACTACTGTTTGTTTTCTTACGATATATAATCAGGATCAATACTTTAATTTACCAGGCATCAGTCATTCAGATTTCAGTATTAATAAATAGCTTTCATCTTTTCTCCTCCATAGTTGTCGTTCGTCAACCTTTTTTCTGTATCCTTTGTATCCCTTCCTTTTCTGCCTGAATTCTACAATACTACAAATCCTAAATTTGGTTTTTGTGAGAATTTGATTAATTTTCACGTAAATTTCGTCCACAAATCCAACCTCAGTTAGAAAACCACGAAAAGCCAGGTGGTTACTTTATCTAACGGCAATCAATTCGTTTCGGTGCATACATTGTTAGCACTATGCACTGTGATTCCTAGTTGATTTTTTGCCACAGTCAACAGCTGTGCATTGCTCCTTATACTTTGAAATCATCACAAACGCAACTCCTAAGTTATAATTCATTACTAATTAATTACTCATCTGAAAAAGGATTTCTTGGAGTTCTAATAATAAACTATCACCTGTGAAGTTCACCGAATTGAGTGCGAGAATAGTTGCCCATTGGAAGACTTTGGATGTTAGTGGCGCTGTATCGTGAGCCAACAGAAGTTAGAATTCAAATACTATTGAATTATAACCTAGTAACTAATGAGTAAATGTGATCAACTCCTTAGCTGAATGTTATGTTCTTGCTTTTCTAAGGAGGTTCAGACTTGAACGACATAGCTGTTGTGTAGTTCCTGGAATTCGGTAATTGGGTAACCGATCCCTGTTTGTGACAAAATCTACTGCAAATTATGTTCTGAACATTGATATTATAATTATTAGTATCATCATTATCCGAACAAAAATGTAGTTTTTGCTGATGATAATGTTAAAATATATTCATAACTTGGATTTTTTTAAATTCATGGCATCAAGCTTTGAAGTTCCAGTTCCAGTGGTTGCTTTGTTAGCCTCATGGCCAACCTTCCCACTCTACCAAGTTTACTATCGGTCGTCGAACCCAGCTCACGCGTGTCATTGGCGAACATTTCACCATTGAACGGCTGACACATTAAATAGTAACGTTCTTTACATTGCATGTTAGTCTAAACAAAAATAAAGGTGATAAATTTTAGGACGAAACAGCTGTCCAGTATTCCCAGGTTTTCCAATGGTTCTCTAACCAATGTCAGCTCATGATGAAATCCTGTAACCAATCAATCGAATCCATACAAACCAATATTCGATAAATTTTAATTTAAACTTTTTAATTCATCAGGATATCTTATGAATTGGATCAAGAAAAGAAACAAGAATTATTTAATTGAATAAATTTTCTTACTTGAATATTAATAATAATTCATCTTTTATCGGTTTGTTTGTTTGTCTGCTTGTTTCCCCTCTCCTAATGCTTCTGTTTTCATTTTTGTTTTCCACTATATACAAGATGATGATAAAGAAGTGGCTAATTTAGAAATTTCACGTAATGCTGTCAAATCATTAATTAAAGCAGCTGAATCTATTCTCACGGAATTTGAACATGCAGAGAAGTTGAGTGAAATTGCCAATCGTCTAGAAGTACCCACATCAATGATGACAATTATAACATCATCTGCGAATAGTAGTCATACAACCTCCTCTGCTTCTTCTTCTTCCTCCTCGTCATCATCACCTGAAATTCAACTGCTAAATGAATTGAAATCACCTAATACAAAATTGATTAATCATGGGCCATTATTTGCTATTCCAATGGTTGCTGGTGGTGGACAACAGTGTAAGAGTGTTTGATTTAATTTGAAATTATACAATAGTGTGTTTAATATTATTATGTGAATTATTTTTTGTAAGAAGCTCCAAAAACAAAGATGCTACCCAGTACAAGCTCACAAATGGTTTTAGTGTTATATTAATGAACCTAATTTAGATATAAAACGAAGAGTTCAGCGATGAAAGCTCTCTCTTTCAGGCGATTTCATTTTTACAGCTGCACAATCGTATTTATATAAGAATTTCCAATAGATTCAAAAGACACGCGTAAAGTAGATATTAGGAAGATGAAGTACATTCGGAAATGCAGTAACATGGGAACATAAGATGAGTGATGTGTGGTCAAAAAATAAGGGTGTGATAACATCAAGACAGATAAAACAAAATAAAATGGAACAACATGGAATAAAGAAGAATGAAGAGGTTTTTGTGAATCGTGTGATAAAATTAGGGCCATAGTACAAAAGTTCTGGCTATATGTTATGTATTACCAAAGCTTCCGCTGTACAGCATAAGTACACTTTTGTCCCTTTCGACAGAATTTTTCGACTGTGTTAAAGCGTCGTGGTCATTATCTGCCATATTTTGCAATATGGATAAATTAGTGGCTTCATATTCTCCTTTGCTCAGCCAAGCTGAGAGATGCTTTCGGGCGCACAGAATACATCCTAGGTATCTAGCACTGTAAGAGCATGGGAACACATCAGTGCATATAAAATTGGACAATCGACGTGATATTTCCTTACCTTTAAGGTGCATCAGTGGATGGCTTGAGTAAGTTATTCAGGTAGTGGCAGAAAACTGGTTTCTCCAATGTTATTGTCATTTGGATTTTAAGGTCTTCACTCGCGCTGTCACCCCTAAATTCTGAGTCCAGGTGGAGCACCTTTGTAGGTACTTTATTCCACTCTGTATTTCTTTCATACAATTGGTTATAAGCCCTGATAAGGTTTGGATACCCATTCTCTGCTAAGTTTCTTTGAGATGTCTAAGTTCTTCATCAACTCCGTCTTCATTAGAATTTCTTCGGACATGTGTTAAGACAGAACGGATTAAATTCCTTTAGTGTTTTTTAAGTAAATGCTAATGGGGTTTTTAAAGATCACGTAGTTGTTAACTTTAGATTTAAATGGCCATACTTTTCACTTTAATTTAATATACATTAGGATACTGTCCGTTCTTGGTTTCTTCAAATTATCCTATAGCGAAGTCAATTTTTCCCATTCTAGTTATGATAATTATGGCAATCACTTCGGTCCAAATACTGACATTATACAAAATATAATTTTTAGAAGTTTTAGAGGTCAACAAATGTACTCCTTATTTAAATAAAATTAAAAGATTTCACCCACGACATCTATTGCTTGTGGTAAATAATTATAGGGTTAATCATTTGATTTACGAGTTCACAGAAGCGTGCACTCTATGTGTAGAAATAATACAATTTGAGGTCAACTGTAGTTGATTAAAACTAAATCAAGGGAGTTGCTGGCTTAGCGGTAGAATGCTGGCCAGTCATGCATGTAGTCCGGGGTTCGACCCCAGGCCGACGCACTCCTTTTCCTCCCCAAGCTGGCGGTAATTAAGAAAGTTTGGGCATCAGACTAGCAGCCCCATTTCGTTAGAATAAAGTCCGCTGTTACCGAAACTTCGAAGTGGAAGTTTGAAGCCTTATGTTCCACTCAGAACGTAAAGGAATAAAGTAAATAATAGTGATCTAAAGGAGTAATTTAAAGTAGTTTGCAGTCGATATCTGTTTTTGGCTAATTTGGTGGCCTAAAGTTTCTGAACGCCGTTATCGTCGTAGATATGCTTCACACTATTGCATAGGAATAACAGCTACACCGAACAACAACTTCTAAAATAAGTAGGATGAATGTGAACATTTTATGATTTTATCGTCTGTTTTAGGCCTTGACTAAGTAGATTATTTCTAGGTGTCTATTTTTCGAAGCGACTTTTCTGATTTACACAACTAATGTGTTTATTTGCGAGATAACGAAACCTTTCTGTATATCTTTTGAAGATGTTTAATTTAGTTAATAAAAACTTCAAACAAATGTCAGTGATTTTTTGTTTCTTTATTACAATGTTTAGTGGCATATATCACTAGGTAACCAGTTTCCATTCTGATCGTCTATTAACATACAGCACATATATAAATCTCAACTAAGTGTCGTGGACTTCTTGCTTAGGAAGATGGCGGGCTGATTTTCTTTTCTGCTAACAATGGGAACAATAAAATATAAGATGGTTGTATTTTTTTTTATTCCTCTACGTTTCCAGTGGGCTTCAAGCGAGAGGTTTGAAGTTTCAGTAGCAGCGATGTTTATTTTTACGGGATGGGGTTGCTAGCCTCATGCCCAACCTTCTCCCTTTAATAGTCTTATTATTGGCTTAGCGAGGTAAAGGAGTGCATCGGTTGGGGATCGTATCCTGAACCACCTGGATGGCTGGCGAACCATCGACGCACTGATTTGAAACTCTATGCCTGTGATTTAATAATTTCATATACAGCTGATAAGACTCAAAACGACGGATTATTATTATTATTATATCCTTTAATTCCTAGAGGAACATATGGCTTCAGCTGCGCGTCTCCATTGCCTTCGGTTTTCTGCCAACTTTTTCAACCCGCTCCAAGTCTGCCCACATTCTTTCATCTCCTCTTCACATGACCTCCTCCAAGTCACCCTTGGACGACCAACTCACCGCTTCCCTTTCGGGTACCACTCGAGCAATGGCTAGTCTAGTGATGTCACATGATGGTTTCCTCAGAGTATGACCAATCCATGATTACAATTTTAATATAAAACGCCTCCACGGAAATTAAAAAATTAATATTTATTAAAAATGACCTCGATTTTGACGATATATATATATATATATATATATTATATATATATATATATATATATATGGAGAGACAGAGGCCTTGTAATCAGTGCTACGGAAGACCTTATTTTCCTAAGGTTTCAATTATCAGCCTCGTACATTTAAATAGTCATATTACAACCAGGCCTATTTATGTATCTACATACGTACATATAATATTATACTGCCGTAAAATACAAATAATTTTACACTGATAGCAGAATACCAGAGGTTTTCTAGCGTGTTTGACCATCTGTTTGACTGTCCTAGTTAACTAGACATTCCGCATTATCGTAATATTCAACAACAAAAAAATAGCCAGTACAGAAGTATTTTATGAGTATTGTTGGATGGTGCTAAGAAAGAGCGAGAGACAGACAGGCGGGTGTGTTTGTTTTTTAATTAAGAAAGATAATTTTTTCTATAAGCAATTTCGCAGTTTGAAAATTTTCTGATGGCATATTTATTTTTACAATAATATTTGGCTAAAATAAATACAGGATGCATTTATCTTCAAAGTAATTTATATTGTGTATTGTGTTTATTTCGAAGCAAATTGCTCTTCAGGTTTATCCGGATTGTCTACATCCTTCAAAGCGTGTCAGTATATCTATTTTGAAGAGTAAATATTGATTCTTTTGTCACTACATTAGTTGTTCAACGGTGGAATGCTTTCTACTCATACACGTAGTCCGCGTTGGGATTCCCAGCCGACGCACCCTTACACCCCGCCTAGTTTACTGTCATTAGGTATTAAGCTCAGAAATTAGGAAAGGTTATAGGGTTGAGGTGACTGAAGGCAAACGACATGTTGCTAAGCTATTCAAATGCATTTGAATTAATATGTCCAAATACTAGCTCACTCATAATCCTTTGTGTTCTGACTGACGTGGCAACATATCGTTTAGTGTCAGTCGTGTGAGGCTAAAAACTCCATCCCGTCGAAAAAATAGCACCAGCAGTATTGAAACCTCTAACCTTAAGGCTTGAAGCCTAAAGTTTCCTTTAAGAATGCAAATTAATGCCCGAAAATTGTCACTTTTAATACTGTTTCTTATCTGAATATTTTCAGGCTTTATTTATTATAGTGGTGTATATACACAATGTGTTATCATTGAATGACTAGTTGGAATTGTACACAGTTCATCAAAATCTACACAGTCTGATGGAATCTTTAATTATCAGTAAATAAGTAGCCTGTACACAAGCATGCATCTTACAAAGTTTGTTTACTGGAGTATTTACTGAAACTTTTTAATTTACTACAACTGTATGCGATTCAAAATCGAGCATATGAATTTGTTTTAAGAATAACGATACTGGTAGCTTTATTCTGGAAAATATGTTAACACGTAGTACAGGATTTTCAGTGTATTTAAATGGTAAAATATGTACCCTTCATACAGGATCTTCAAGTGAAATTTTGTATTTTGCAGTACGTTGTGTGATGCTGTGTTCCCCCATCTGAAGTACTATCCTATCATCTAAGATATTTTTCACTCATTTCCTTTCAGAAGTGTTCTGCATTACACTGACAACAGATTAAAAAACTGTAAGGGAATTTATGTAGAGATCCAAAAACATAAATAAATAATTAAAACAATAAGAAATGGAGAAGAGTTTTATGCATTGTAGAAACTTGGGTAGCTCAGTCATTTAAGGAGGTCGCCCTTAATGATAAACAATGTAGCTGTGTTCAATTTCCATCCTTGACCGAAATGTATAAATCAAGTGTCCTTTGTGATGTGGGTTAATAAAATGAGTGACTCGAAACTTGACATTATTGTAGCTTGTTAAGTCAGGTCACGTACAAAGGTGATACTAGTAGATACGGGTTAATTAGTTTATCAAAACAGAAATGTTCCTAGGCCTAGATTAATCTCTAAAAAGCTTAGCTTTTGTTATGTATACACTTGTATATAATCACACATTACGATGAAATAGGCTTAAAGTACTAATAAATAATATCGTTCGGTAGAGAGAGATCACTTACCGAATTTATTAATGTCAGTAAAAAGTTTGAGCATTGCGAAATAGATCAAATAAAGCATTATTATACTTCAGTGGTTTACATACAATGATAAGTTTTTGTTTTTCGGTAATATTTCGAGCAAAATTACTGCCCGTGTCCAC